CTGGAGGAGCCGTGGCTGGATTGTGCGCAGTCCTGGGGTAGCGGCCTGGGGGCAGTGGCGACCCGCTGGATCGATGTACGAAAGTGAGGTGGAGGAGGGCTGCCAGCCCCAGTCGGCACCACCCGCAAGTCACGGGTGCCGAAGGGGCGGGCGGAGGTGAGGAGGCCGAGGGCCGGGGCGTCCCGCCAGTGCGGTCCCCGAGGAGAGGCGGAGGTGGCCGGGGCGTCCCGCCAGCGCGGTCCCCGAGGAGAGGTGGAGGAAGCCGGCGGGTGCTCCGCCGACGCCTGCACGCGCTGGGCAACGAGGTGCCCAGCTGTGAGCCCCGTTCGGCACCACCCGCAAGTCACGGGCGCCGAGGGGGCGTGAGGAGCTGGGTGGCCGAGGAGCCGCCAGCCTGGCGGCACAGCCGGGCCTCTGCTGAGGCCTGACGTGAGCGTGTGAGGGACGGCACGCGCCTGCAGCGGCCAAAAGCGCGTGCGCTCTCTTCGCTCTAGTTTTGTTTAAGCCCGAACAGTGCTTGTGCTCGTCGCGGGTCGGGCGTCCACTGTTTGGTTCTACCAGGCACTTTCTCACTTAAACGTGAGAGTTTGAGCGTGCGTAAAACGTAGGGTTTCAGGGAGTAGTGCCTGGTGAGGGGGAAGGGTCTCTCTTGCCTTCTTCCCTTTCCCCCTCTCCGCGGCCCCTCTGGGGCTCAAGTTCCTTCTCGGGCCCTTCCCTCCCAGGCCCTCCCTGGCCCATCGTAGGTCCTTTTCACTTTTTCGGCCTTGACCGCCTAGCGGTTCGGGCCGAGGAGCCGCCAGCCTGGCGGCACAGCCGGGCCTCAGCTGAGGCCTGACGTGAGCGTGTGAGGGACGGCACGCGCCTGCAGCGGCCAAAAGCGCGTGCGCTCTCTTCGCTCTAGTTTTGTTTAAGCCCGAACAGTGCTTGTGCTCGTCGCGGGTCGGGCGTCCACTGTTTGGTTCTACCAGGCACTTTCTCACTTAAACGAGGGAGGAGGGAGGAGGGAGGGGGAGGAGGAGGAGGAGGAGGAGGAGGAGGAGGAGGAGGAGGAGAGGAGGAGGAGGGAGGAGGAGGAGGAGGAGGAGGAGGAGGAGGAGGAGGAGGAGGAGGAGGAGAAGGAGGGGAGGAGGAGGAGGAGGAGGATGAGGATGAGGTGAGGAGGAGGAGGAGGAGAGGAGGAGGAGGAGAGGAGGAGGGAGAGGAGGAGGAGGAGGAGGAGGAGGAGGAGGAGGAGGAGGAGGAGGAGGAGGAGGAGGAGGAGGAGGAGGAGGAGGAGGAGGTGGAGGAGGAGGAGGAGGGAGGAGGAGGAGGAGGAGGAGGAGGGCAAGGAGGAGGAAGAAAGAAGGAGGAGGAGGAGGAGAGGAGGAGGAGGGGGAGGAGGAGGAGGAGGAGGAGGAGGAGGAGGAGGAGGAGGAGGAGGAGGAGGAGGAGGAGGAGGGAGGAGGAGGAGGGGGAGGAGGAGGAGGAGGAGGCGGAGGAGGAGGAGGAGGGAGGAGGAGGAGGAGGAGGGAGGAGGGGGAGGGGGAGGGCAAGGAGCAGGGAGGAGGAGGAGGAGGAGAGGAGGAGGAGGAGGAGGAGGAGGAGGAGGAGAGGAGGAGGAGGAGGAGGAGGAGGAGGAGGAGAGGAGGAGGAGGAGGAGGAGGAGGAGGAGGAGGAGGGGAGGAGGAGGAGGAGGAGGAGGCGAGGAGGAGGAGGAGGGGAGGAGGAGGAGGAGGAGGAGGGAGGAGGAGGAGGAGGAGGAGGAGGAGGAGGAGGAGGAGGAGGAGGAGGAGGAGGAGGAGGAGGAGGAGGAGGAGGACGAGGAGGAGGAGGGGGTGATGGGGACAGCCTGCGCGTGCGCAGTGTGCAGCGAGGCAGGAGGAGCAGCCAGGAGGGAGGGCGCCACAAGAGGGCGCGGACGACCCAGACGTGCGACGCTCTGAGTTCGTGTTCTCCACACGGGGTCCCTGGAAGTCCTGACCCCTGCTCCGAGGCCAGTCCTTCGTCCTGGGTCGCTTCGTTCACGGCCCCGAGGCCCAGCGAGGGCCCCCCGAGGCCGACAGCGGACGACAGCCGCCCGTCGTGGTTTCTTTGCGACGCGATCATGTCTGGGTCTGTAGCGTTGCGGCCACGCGCACCTCGCCGCCCAGCCACCTGTCCAGCGGGGTGGCACCCACAGGGCAGCACTCCCAGGCGCCCAAGGCACGCAGAGCGGCCTCCAAGCCATGTGCCGAGAACTCGCCTCTCGGCGAACGTGCCCAACGGGGAGGAATGAAGAGGTGAAGCAGGGCGCAAATACCCATCGGTCGGAAGAAGTGGTAAAACAATGAAGTAGGAAGGCGTTGAAAGTAGATTGGGTGTCCGCCCGCCCCCTCAAGAGGACGGACACGGTGAAGCCACTCGATCATTGAAGTAGGAAGGCGCTTAAAGCAGATTGGGCTCTGGGGCTCCAGAGATAGACCGATGGGCAAGAGAGAAGGGCCCGCGGCCCCACCCCACGAGAGCAAGCGGTGCTGAGGAACGCGCTGGCGCGCAGACAGCATGCTGGAGCGGGCAAGCGCGCAGACCGAATGCTTCGGCGGCGGACAAGCCTCTCTCTAGTAAACCACCCTTTCGCGAACGCGGCCTAGGACCGAAACCGACGGACCTGGACCCGCAACAACAACGGCCGCGACGCCCTCTCGCGAACTGAAAACGGCCAATTCACTAATCTCGACTGCTCGCTAGAGTGACCCTGGGTAAGACCTTTGGTGAGCGACTTTTTGAGGGCCGCGGGGGGACCAAACCTGGGCGCGCAAGCAGCTGCTACTGCCTCGCTTTCAGCCGTCTGGGGACCCATCTGTGCCCGCACCCAATGTCACTCCGGCGAAAGGTCACTCTTACGTCTAGTCGATAATCGACGTGCAGGGTAGGTCTACCAAAACTCCGAGTGCTCTCCCCATCCAAGAGATCCGCGCGGAGCCACGGAAGCCCGTGCCTGCGCCGTCCGGTGCCTGAGGCGGCCCGCGCTCCTGCTCCTCCTCCTGCTCCTCCTCCTGCTCCTGCTCCTGCTCCTGCTCCTGCTCCTCCTCCTCCTCCTCCTCCTCCTCCTCCGCCTCCTCCTCCTCCTGCTCCTGCTCCTGCTCCTGCTCCTGCTCCTGCTCCTCCTCCTCCTCCTCCTCCTCCTCCTCCTCCTCCTCCTCCTCCCTCTCTCCCCTCCGCGGCCGCCATCTTCTTTCCCTGCTGCCCCTGGCGCCCCGCAACGATCTCCGCGCCTGCGTTCGCCGGCGCTGCCGATGAGGACAGTGCGGCTGCGCTGCCTCATTCTCGTCCTCTTCCTCCTCCTCCTCCTCCTCCTCCTCCCATCTCCCTCCTCCCTCCTCCTCCTCCTCCTCCTCCTCTCCTCCTCCTCCTCCTGCCTCCTCCTCCTCCTCCTTCTCCTTCTCCTCCTTATCCTCCTCCTCCTCCTTCTCCTCCTCCTCCTCCTCCTTCTCCTCCTCCTCCTTCTCCTCCTCCTTCTCTTCCTCCTCCTCCTCAGTTTTAACTCCGTTTTCGCCCAGGCCTTTCCCGAACTCTCTGGCCGTTCGGCCCGAGGCGCCTCCGATAGGCAGGGTATGCAGAGGCGGCGGCGCTGGCGGTCTTTCTCGAGCGGGAGGAACCAGTCTTCTGGGCAGGGCCACGGGTCCCCAAAATCCTCCTTGCCTCTAGGGGTGACCTCCACCCCCTCCGTACTCTTCGTCCCGCAGTTGCGCACTGCGTCGACACGAGGCGGCCGGGGGTACGGGCGGGGGCCCTTGTCGGAGCGGTCCCCTATCAGGGGCCACTCCCCAAGCCTTCCCTTCCTCTTCCCCCCTGCGATCGCCTCTCGGGGCAGGCACGGTTCCTCGTTGCGGGCAGGAGATCGGAGGAGGCCAGGAGCGGGCTGGGCAGCCACGAGCTGTCCTCTCGCCCTCCCCCTCCTTCCCCTCCCACGCAGGATCGAGCCGCCCTGGCGGTGTCTCTGGATCGTCGCGCACGCGCAGCCTATCCGTAGCCGTCAAGGCTCCTGACGGCCGGCCCGATCCCTCTGCCCCCCCTCGGGCGGACCCAGGAGATGCCAGAGCCGAAGCCACCGGCCTCTGGAGCAGGGGACGGCCCCCGTGCAACGAGCTTGATCCCCTCCCTGGACGGGCTGCTGCGGCGAGCCCCCCACTCCAGGGGACTAGGGGGCTCCTGTGGGGATCCGGCCGCAGATCCTCTGCGCTCACACCGGTGGGGGGAACTCAGGGCGGAGGCATCGCGGCTGATCCAATCCAGCTCCGCTCCTAGCACCGCAGGTCGCCAATCCACCGATGGTCTCCATGAAGCTCTACGGTGGCCAGATGGCCAGCCACGAGCTGTCATCTCGCCCTCCCCCTCTTTCCCCTCCCACGCAGGATCGAGCCGCCCTCTCCCTGGGTGGTCGCCGCGGAGCCGTCGCAGTCGCCTCCTCGGCCCTGCAACCCTCTGCCAAAGGACCCGAGCACGCGGGCCCAACATACAATCCTCTACGGGAGGACACCTACCTACCTACCTACCTACCTACCTACCTACCTACCTACCTGCCTGCCTGCCTGCCTGCCTGCCTGCCTGCCTGCCTGCCTGCCTGCCTGCCTGCCTGCCTGCCTGCCTGCCTACCTACCTACCTACCTACCTACCTACCTCCTCTTCCTCCTCTCTCCTCCTCTCTCTCCCTCCTCCTCCTCCTCCTCCTCCTCCTCCCTCCTCCTCCTTCTTCTCCTCCTTCTTTTCCTCCTCCTCCACATCCTCCTCCTCCTCCTCCTCCTCCTCCTCCTCCTCCTCCACTCTATGGGCGGTGAACCTCCTCCTCCTCAGCGAAATCGGCAGAAGTCGAATCGGTGGAAGTCGGCAGGCTGGCAAGGCCTCCAGAGCGATACCGACATCCGAATTCGGAATCCGAAGTCGAACCGACCCAGAATCGGAACCGATCCGAACCGAACCGAGTCGGAGGAATCGACCTGAGCCCTGCTCTGTGCCTGCGCCGTCTCTTCCTCCCTCGGCTCCGGCGCCGGCGGGGGCGGGCGCGCCCCGTCCGCGGCCATGGCCGCCCGCGCCTCCTCTCGGCGGCGAGCCTGGGGGGGAAGTGAGAAGGGGCGGGCCTTCCCAGAAGGCCCGGAAGCCCCCTGGCCTTCCGACGAGCTCTCGGAGCCCTCCCCGAATGACGCAGACAACTTCTCTCGGGAGGCGCGAGGGCTTCTGCGGAGCCCCGCCCGCCTTCTGAGAAGGCCTTCTCCTTCTCAGTTCCCCCCCTCGCTCGCCGCCGCTCCTCGCCCGCCCGCCGCACGAGCGCCGCGGGGTCCTCCAGGAGCAGCGCCGCGAGCCTGGCCGCCGGCGAGCCCTCGCCCTGCAGCAGCTCGCACGCGCCCTGCAGCGCACGGCGGGCGCGCCGGGCGCGCTCGCCCTCGGGCGTTATCGTTCATGACCGATCCCGATCCCCACTGGCGTGGCCCTGGCCCGACGAGGAGGAGGAGGAGGAGGAGGAGGAGGAGGAGGAGGAGGAGGAGGAGGAGGAGGAGGAGGAGGAGGAGGAGGAGGAGGAGGAGGAGGAGGAGGAGGAGGAGGAGGAGGAGGACGGAGGAGGGAGGAGGAGGGAGGAGGGGGAGGAGGAGGAGGAGGAGGAGGAGGAGGAGGAGGAGGGGAGGAGGAGGAGGAGGAGGAGGAGGAGGCGGAGGCGGAGGAGGAGGAGGAGGAGGAGGAGGAGGAGGAGGAGGAGGAGGAGGCCGAGGAGGAGGAGGAGGAGGAGGAGGAGGAGGAGGAGGATACCCTGAGACCCTGCCGTCATTTTTTCGAGCCGGGCGTTTTCGCCTGGCCTGTGGCCCCAAGAGGCCCTCACGGATGGATCTGGCCCGAAACATGGCGCAGAAAGATGGGGTCTAGGGCTCCAGTCGCGTTTTTTCGAGACGTCGGATCTCAGGGTATGCTGTTCCCTTCGGGTTTCGCGTGGCCGCTCCCCAACTGGGGTGGGTGGGATGGTGGGGCTGGTGGGGCTGAGCTACTATGGCCCAGTGGGGATGGGGATCGGGTCAACGATACTGACCTCGGGCGCGAACAGGGCAAGCATGAGCAGCAAGGACTGCGTCGTAGGGTCCGCGGCCCCCGGGTGCAGCCGTCGCGACAGGTCGCAGAGCGCGTCGAGGCCGTCGCAGTGGGCGGCGAGCTCATCGCCCGCCGCCCCCGCAGGAGGTGAGCAGCAGCGCTCGAGCAGCGCCGGCAGGCGCCGCAGGTCATCCGCGCAGGCTGGGCCTCCCTCCGGCCCGGCGGAGGCTTCGAGCTGGCATCGGGGGCAGGAGCACGCGAACCCCCACGCCTCTTGGAGGTTTTCCCGCCGGCTCTCCACGGGCTCTGCGAGGCCCTGCATGCCCAGGTACGACGTGGTGATGGCGTCGCCAGCCTTCAGCGGGCGCAGGACTGTCAGCCACAGGTCGGCCCCGTCGTGCGCGATCGCGCACGAGGGCGCGCACGAGTGCTCGCAAAGCGCCATCAGCATCCAGAGGCCGCACACGTTCTCGTGGGCGAGGACCGGCTCTGGGGAGCCGTCGGAAGACTCCACCCACCCGCCGCTCGGCGTCGCGGTCTTCAGGCTGCGCCAGTTGGGCACCACGTGCTGCCACGCCGCCTCGATGGTCTCCACCTCCACTGCGCGGAACTCGTCCTTCGGGTCGGGCGACAGAAGGGGATAGCAAAGGGGGGGGTTGAGAATCGGCTCACGTAACTGGTTTTCCTGGCGCCTCCCGGCGCCGGAGGCGGCTATGTATCGAGCAATGGGCCCCTCGGTGGGGCCGAAACCAGCTGCATGCAGCAGATTTCGCAACCCCCGCTTTCCCTATCCCCCCCTTTCGCTCGGCCCGAGACTCCTGGAACTCGCGGTGCCACTTGCGGACCACCGCCACTCGCCTCGGGCCCCCGGGGAAGCGGTACAGCGCCCACAGGCTCCAGGCAGCGCCCTCCTCCTGGCGGAGGAGGAGGAGGAGGAGGAGGAGGAGGAGGAGGAGGAGGAGGAGGAGGAGGAGGCGCACAGCGGAGGGCCCGGCCCTCGAGGGAGGCCCTGGGCCTCCGAGGAGGCGCGGGGCGCCTGAGCTTTCCACGACCAGTCCCTTCGGCGGGCCCAATGTTTTTCCCCCCCGCAACGCAACGAACCCAATGCCCCCGGAGTCGTGAAGACAGGAAGGCCCAACCGATCTGAGCCGCACCTCCACTCCATGGAGCCGCGAAGTTGACAAAGCTTGCGCAAAGTCGGCCGAACGCATCCAATGTTTTTTGCTGGTTGGGGGGGGGGGGGAGGGGGATGCGGGCCTTCAGAAGTCCTGACCCTTTCCCTAGGGCCAGCTTCTCGTAGTCTGCGGGCCGAAAGCGGCGAAACACGCTGGCATTGACCTCGTCAATGCGTTGGGGGTGGGCCCCCCCCTGCCTTCCAAGAAGGCTGCGTCCCTTCGTCCCGCCCTCGATCCCGACCCGCTCGAAACTGATCCCATCCCCGGGCCCCTTCCGCGGCTCTTCGAGCTGCGCCCAGCCGCGGCCGCCACCTGGAGGCCCAGGGACAGCTCCCCCAGAGCGCTCCGCCACCCCGTCCTTCGCCTCCCGGGTAGTGCCCGGCGCCGGAGGCGCCGCCTAGGGCGGCCCGGCGACGACCCGAGCAGAGCGGCGCGGTGCTCTCGGCGGGCCCCGCCCCTCGCCGCCCCCCGCCGCCGTGGCGTGCGCGGCCGACCGCCGAGGAGGGCGACCCCTTCCGGGGGACGTGCGCCCGTGCGTGGCGCAGCGAGCGCGCCCCCCGAAGCCCAGATGGGGCCCCGAGGCCTCCTCCGCCGCCTTCCCAAACATCCGACGAGTCGTTCTTCGACAGATGGCCCCAGGAGGCTCCGACCCTTTGCCCCCCGGGGGGCCGTACCCGAGCCATTCGTGACAGTCCCGGGGCCCGCCACCGGCCGCCTGCGGAGGCCGCAGGTCGCGGAAACCGCCGCGATCGAGACCGACGGTCCGCCGCTCTCCCCAGAGGTGGCTCCTCGTGCCCGAGCCACTTTTCATGGCCTCGGGGCCCGGACATGGCCCCCGCGGAGGCCGAGAGCAGCGGAACCCGCCGCGATCGAGACCGACGGCTCGCCGGATACATGGATCGATGCGTTGCCCCCTGCGCCTGCCCCCCTCCCCTTCTCGTTGCCCCTGATGGGCCCTGGCCGCCGCCGCCGCCGTCGCCGTCGCAGTCGCCGTCGCCGTCGCCGTCGCCGTCGCCGTCGTCGTCGCCGTCGCCGTCATCGTTGTCGTCGCCGTCGTCGTCGTCGTCGTCGTCGTCGTCGTCGTCGTCGACTTCGTCGTGGCCGCCGCAGCCGCTCCTCGCAGCTCTCGACCGCCAGGGCGCGCACCAGCGACGCGAGGAAGTCCAGCGCGGCGAGCAGGTCGCCTGAGGGCAGCGGCCTGCCGCAGCCCGTCTGCGGCCTCAGCACCGACGCCAGGTGGGCGCCGCGCGCGGTGCCGTGGAGCGCCACGGGCACGTCGCGGATGCGGCAGCCTGCCCAACCCCCTTGTTCTTGTCCTCGTCGTCCTCCTCCTCCTCCTCCTCCTCCTCCTCCTCCTGCTCCTCCTTCTCCTCCTCCTCCTCCTCCTCCTCCTCCTCCTCTGCAGCGGACGTTTCCCCGATGTTTTCGTCCTCCTCCTCGCCCTCCTCCTCCTCCTCCTCCTCCTCCTCCTCCTCCTCCTCCTCCTCCTCCTCTGCGACGACGGCGGGCGGCGTCGCTTCGGAAGCTCTGTGGGCCCCCTCTGGGGGCTCTCGCCGTCGCGGCTGCACGCAGCTCGGCCCAGGCGCCCGCCAGCTAGAGGTCCTGACTGGTAACCGCCCCCTCGAAGTCCCGAGCCTCTCCCCAGGGCCGGCTTTTCATCCTGAGTCGTTTATTGATTCAGTGGGTTTGGTTATGCCAAGCAACTGAGTTATTGAAAAATGTCAATTTTCCAACAATAAAAATTATCCCGGCAAAGCAACCTAACAGTGATGTGTAGAAGCATATATGGAAACATTCCCCTTAAGATCCAGATGAGAATCCAGTTGTAGAATTCTCCTGTTCTCGCAGTCGCAGTCGCATTCGCGATGACAGTCGCAGTGGCAACGGCAGTCACAGTCACAGCCTCAGCCTCAGCCTGCCTCAGTATCAGCCTGCCTCAGCCTCAGCCTCAGCCTGCCTCAGCCTCAGCCTCATCAGCCTGCTTCAGCCTCAGCCTCAGTCTGCCTTCAGCCTCGGCCTCAGCCTCAGCCTGCCTCAGCCTCAGCCTGCATCAGCCTCAGCCTCAGCCTCAGCCTCAGCCTCAGCCTCCGCATCAGCCTGCCTCAGCCTCAGCCTCAGCCTGCCTCAGCCTCAGCCTCAGCCTGCCTCAGCCTCAGCCTCAGCCTCAGCCTGCCTCGGCCTCAGCCTCAGCCTGCTTCAGCCTCAGCCTCAGTCTGCCTTCAGCCTCGGCCTCAGCCTGCCTCAGCCTCAGCCTGCATCAGCCTCAGCCTCAGCCTCAGCCTGCCTCAGCATCAGCCTGCAGCCTCAGCCTCAGCCTGCCTCAGCCTCAGCCTCAGCCTGCAGCCTCAGCCTCAGCCTCAGCCTCAGCCTGCCTCAGCCTCAGCCTGCATCAGCCTCAGCCTCAGCCTCAGCCTGCCTCAGCATCAGCCTGCCTCAGCCTCAGCCTCAGCCTGCCTCAGCCTCAGCCTCAGCCTGCTTCAGCCTCAGCCTCAGTCTGCCTCAGCCTCGGCCTCAGCCTCAGCCTGCCTCAGCCTCAGCCTGCATCAGCCTCAGCCTCAGCCTCAGCCTGCCTCAGCATCAGCCTGCCTCAGCCTCAGCCTCAGCCTGCCTCAGCCTCAGCCTGCCTCAGCCTCAGCCTCAGTCTGCCTCAGCAGCTGCCTCCTCAGCCTCAGCCTCAGCCTCAGCCTCAGCCTGCAGCCAGCCTCAGCCTCAGCCTCAGCCTCAGCCTCAGCCTCAGCCTCAGCCTCAGCCTCAGCCTGCCTCAGCCTCAGCAGCCTGCCTCAGCAGGCAGGCAATGTGAGTGTTCTGGGAACTCGAAGAGCACGAAGTGGCCTACAGTTGGCTCTGGGCATTCAAAATGTGGCCCGGGAATGGTGTTCTGGGAGCTCGAAGAGCACGAAGTGGCCTACAGTTGGCTCCGGGCATTCAAAATGTGGCCCGGGAATGGAGTTCTGGGAACTCGAAAACCAAGAAGTGGCCTACGGTTGGCTCCGGGCATCCAAAATGTACGCCGGGAATGGAGTTCTAGCAGCGCCAAAAGCGATTTTGCGAGGATGTCCAAGGCGATTTGGGCTTCGACGGCAGCCGCCCCGGGTCCCGCCCCGACCCCCCTGAGGAGTCATGATGCTCTCTTTTGACACCACTAGAAACCTATCAGTCTTCGCTGTTAGGTAAAAACGAGTGAGCCCAAAATCCAGACTTGAAAGTTTCAGTCCCAGATTCTCGGCGCTGAAATATTGGAACATGAAAATTCAAATCTGGACTCCCGAGATGGGACAACGATAACTCCAATGCAGTCCTTCCCAGATTGGAGAAATTTCAAAGCCACACTGTTTCCTGCGAGCGAATTTCAATCTGGGAAAGGTGGGAGAGGGCAGCGGGCATTGAAATGAGGCTAGCATTGGAAACAAGTTGCGAGAATGTCTCGGACAAAGCCCCCGTTCGAGCACCCCGTGGGGAAGCCGCCTGAGGGCGCTACACTTGCGTATTGGCGGTCAGATTGGGATGTCCCGGGTCAGGTGCTCGTTCGGTGTTTCTTCGATGGTTTTGGAGCACGACTTCGAGGGTTTGAGGGGGCGTGCTTCTCCCGAGAGTTTTGTGACACTACACCCCTGACAGGCACCACAGGCTTCCGATGGCCCTGGGGTCAGAGCGATCTTTGGGGCCCGCGGAGCCTATGGGGCCAGTAGAGCATGCGGTGCCTCTGGGGCCTAGGACGCGTTCCAAACCCTTGGAAGAACCACGTCCTCAAAACCTTCGGGAAAGCCGCGAGTACAAAACCCTCGCAAGAACCTCGCAGGGTCCCGCACTTTACTGTCTTTCCCGCCTGATCCGCCCTGCCCAGCCAGACGCGATATAGCCTCACGCGCTCTAACCCGCCACAGTGCTGCCCCTGTGTCACGAAGTGGAGTGTCCCAAGGTCCCTTGCTCAACCCCTGAGCCTCAGTCTTCAATCCTGAGGATTCCATCAGGGGCCGGACCCCCCATTCTCAAATCTTCTTGGGCTCCTGGCGTGCCTCCTGGGTTCGCCTGCGTCTTGCTGCATGATTTTTCCGAGGCCAAGAGGGCTCCAAGACCGGCCAAGGGGGTCCCAAGAGGCCACCCAGTCGGTCCAAGAGGACCCCGAATCGCTACACGATCGGTCTGGGACACTCAAGGTGGCTTCATGATGTCGTCCTCGAGACGCCCCAAGAGCCTTCCCAAGAGGGCCCCGAGAGAGCTTGCAGACAGAGATGCCGGTGCACGTTGCGAGCAACTGGGCATCCGCCTGGTCACCATGGTCGTGGAGTCTTTCAGCGGATGGGGCGCGATGGCGCAAGACGTGCGTCGGAGCTTGATTCATGCCCGTGCAGCGCGCAGTGGCGAGATGGTGAGCAACGCCACCACTTCCTTCTATTTTGGCCTGAGCATCACTTTGATGCGGACGAAAGTACGCGCTGTGCTGGCTAGGAGCCCTCAGGAAGTCGGCGTCCATGCTGACCAGGTCAACCGCGCGGCGACCTTGTCGCAAGCGGGACGTCAAGAGGAGGCTGAAGCCCAGAGAGACTGAAACTGTCCCATTTGGACCTCAATGCTCCTCCCCCTCCTTCCTGCTTTCCCCCTCCCCTCCCTGTCCTGGCCCTGCCGTTGCTTTGCGTGGTCTTCCTCCCGGCGGAGAGGAGGCCGACAATTTTCCCAACGCGCTGGCGCTATTGCTCTTCTTGGTCCGTTTCCTTTCTTGCCTTGCCTGTGGCCCTCAGCTCCTTCTCCTCTCCTTCTCTTCCCTCTCCGTGCCCCCCCCCCTCGCCCTTGTGTTCCCTCTCCCTTGCGTTCCTCTCCTTACCCTTGTGTTTCCTTGCCCTCGTGCGCGGTGTGCTCTCCTTCTCTCTCTCCCTGCTTGGCTTCCCCTTCCCGCCCCCTCGCCCCTTCGTCAGTTAGCCCGGTTTGTTTCCTCCTGTCGTTCCCTTCTCTCTCCCCTTCCCTTTCTCGCTCCTCGGCTCCTCGCTCCCTGGCCCGTCTCTGTTTCGTGCCTGGCCCGCTTGTCTTTGTCGGCCCGCCCCGTGGTCCGAGTAAGAGATGCGGCGGCCCGCACTGCCACGCTGGCGAATATCGCTGGCCCTGCTTCAACACTTCAATGTTCAAAACAAATCAGGATTCCCCCATACTTTTTTTCAAAACATGTTTTTTGGGATCCCGATTTTTCGAGCTTCCGACTCTCCAAGACGGCCCAAGAGGCCCCCGAGACCGCCCCAAGAGAGCTTCAAGACGGCCCAAGCGGCGCCCAGGACGGCCCAAAGAAGGCCCCAACAGGGGCCCAAGAGGGGGAGCCCGAACCGACAACTCGAGCCCCGGGAGGAACATATTGCCTCGGGCAAGGAAGGCCGAGGGGCCTGCAGTCCCAGGGCTCGAGCAAGTCGAGCCGTCGGGTGTCTGGGACGTTGTCCCTTGCAGCCGGCTTGTTCTAGTGGAGCGAGCCTCCGGCGAAGCGAAACTCAGCGAAGCGGAATCTTGCAAAGAGGAGCAAACCGAGCTCTGCGAAGAAGGCCCATGGCAATGCGAATGAGGAGTGACGGGAGATCTGTCAGCCTGGCTCCAGGTCGCGCGCAGCCACGAGGCACCGGCCGCGCTCGCGAGTGTTCACCAGCCGCAACCGTCCCCCGGAGGCCGCCGCGACTCGCGGCTCGAGCAGCAAGAACGCGGCCTCCTCGTCCATCGGTGCGCAGGGGCGGCGCATTGCTGTGGGCGGGCAGTGGTGCGCGGTGCGCCCTTGGGCCTTCTGCTGTCCTCGTCGCCACCGTGGCCCGACACAGCCAGGAGCAACTTTAGGATGACGGCTCGTCCCCGTCAGGCACTTGATGCTTTGCAAACGGGCCGGTGACACCAACAACATAGCTGCGAGTGCTTGTCACTGCTGGAAACGCCCACGATTTGTTGGGAGCAACGGCATGGAACATGAATTAACCCGGCAGGACAAGCATGACCGCTGCGCAAGCCACCGTCCGACGGGCTCGGGCACAGACTATGGTTTCATAGATAAGGCGAAACTATCTGGATTTTTTTATTCATGGGAACAAGCAGCTTTCGAAACCTTGCGTGCCTGAGGTGATCCAGCCACTTGGCTAGCGTGCGTTCAGCGACAAGCCACCGCACCAGGAAGAAGAGGGAAGAGGAGGCAAGAGAGGAATAATAATGTGAAGACGGCGACTCGCCACATGTAAATGCATACACTCCGTGGAAAACAGCAGCATGCCCAGTATCAAGCTGCGCCTTAGACTCCACCCACTCTGGCTTGGAAGCGGCAGCTGCAGGAGAGGGAGCAGGAGGACGAATGGAACAACAAGGCATGGGTGAATGGACTTGGGCGTCGTGTGCGCATCCCCTGTGTTCAGACCAACTACTTATGCAACTAGGCCTTACACAACAGCAACCAAGCGCAGAGGGAAGCACAGAGCTAATTAAAAGCCATGCAGCATTGCGGATGATAGTAAAAGGAGGGGGGAGGAAACAGAGGGTCAAGGAACGACAAGACGAGACCATCAACCAGCGGGGGTATGCTGGCATGGGTGGGTGCAGCCACTCAAATCATATGGAGAGTGCAAATCGCTGCATAGAAGAGGCACCGCCGTGCCCCACAGCAACGGAGGGCCGTGACCAAGAGGCGAGTCGGTAAACCTAGGGCAGCCTGAAGCTGACCGCGAGGTCGGCCAAACGCAGCCACGAGCTAAGCCCTTCGCGCGCTACCCGTAAACATACTTCAATGAGAGGTGGGGAACAAGGGAAACAAAGTGGGGAACATAACCTCGTGCCTGGATCACCGGCCCCCTCGTGGACATCGGATTCGTGATGCTGCTTTCCGTCGTGATGCCTGGTCTCGATCAACAGCGAACTGCAGAATTATGCTGTTAAGCTCCGATGCGCTGCTCCGGCTTCTGGACAGCTCGACTCGTCGTGGTGCTAAACTCGTTGTAATAGACACCATACTGGTGCCCTGCATGGCCCTGTAACGGGTGACCCAGCGGGGTCACCCGTTACGTGATAATCCCTGGCGCAATAATACTGGACACCGACGCGGTGCTCAACTCCGTCGTGGTGGACGGCGTGGGAGCGTTCGATGCCCTTGTGCTGGCTAGCGACGTGGAGGTCAACTCCGTCGTGCCCGACTCCACGATGCTAGATACTGAAGTGGTGCTCGCTTCCGCCATGGTGGACAACGTGGTGGCCCTCGGCTCCGTTGTGTTGGGTAACGGGGTGCTTCTCGACTCTGTTATGACGCACGCCGTTCTAGCGCTGGACTACGCAGTGTTGGATACCGGCGTGATGCTCAAATCTTCTGTGGCGGACAGCATGGCAACGCTCGGTGCTGTTGTCCTGAATAGCGACGCGGTGCTTAACTCCGCCGTGGTGGATACCGTGGTGATGCCCAGTTCCGTAGGACTGGATCGCGTTTTGGTGCTCGTCGCTATTGTGGTGGATAATGTGGCAACGCTCGGCTCCGTAGTGGTGGGGATCAACTTGGTGGTCGACTCCACCGCGGTGGACACCGTGATTATGTTCGATCCCATGATGCTGGATAGGAACGTGGCGCTCGACTCCGTCGTGGTAGATAACGTGGTGTCGCCCGATTCAATCGTGCTTGATAGCGACGCGGTGCTCGACTCTGGATGCCGAGGTGATGTTGTTGTTGTGGTGGGTAAGATGGTGGCGTGCGGCCCGGTTGTGCTGGATGGCGACGTGGAGCCCGAATCCGTCGTGGCGGATGTCGTGGGGATGCTCGATTTCGTGGGGCTGGATAGCGACGTGGTGTTCGTCTGACACCGCTTGCGGGATCACCCCTGACATCGGGGACGTCGTCAACGACGTGCCGCTGGTCGTGCTGAATGTTTGTCAAACTGGCAGCGCTGATACTTCTGCTGGCACTTGTGGCCGTGGTGCTGCGTGAGCCTGATACCGTCGTCAACCACGTGCCCCTGGCCCTGCTCACACTCGTCGAACGACGGCTGAACGCGCCTGTGTTGTCGTGCTGCCAGTGACCGCCGTGCTGCCCGAAAGTGGGTGCAGGGGTCGTTGACCTGCACTCCGCCGTAGTGTTCAGCGTCGTACTGCTGGTCATCGTCATGCTGCCCATGGTCATGCTGCTTGTGACGGACGTGCTTCGTGTAAGTGGTTGCAAGTGCTGTTGTGCTGGGCTCCGCCCTGCTGCTGAGCGTCCTGCCGCTGGAGCCTGGCATGCTGCTCATCGCTTGGCTGCTGGAGATCCACCACGCTGCGCACAACTGGATGCAAGAGTCTTTCTGTAGCACTCCGTCGTGCTGTTCAATGTCGTTCTGCCGAAGCTCGTCGTACTTCTCCTTGTCATGCTGCTGCTGACTCTCGTGTTGCGCCTGCGTGGATGCAACTGTCATTTTGCTGAACTCCGTCGTGCTGCTCCGCGTCCTGCTGCTGAAACCCATCGTTCTGTACATGGTTGTGCTGCTGGTGACCGGCGTGCTGCGCAGTAATGAGCGCAGGAGTCGCGATGATGCGCTCCGGCGACCTGTTCCGCGTCGTGTTGCAGGAGCCCCGCACGCTGTGCATCGACGTGCTGCTGGTGCACCGAGTGTGGCGGGCAGGTGGATGTAGGAGTCATTGTGCTGCTCCGTCGTGTTGCTCCGCGTTCTTCTGTCTACCGCTGGAGCCCAGCGTGCTGTGCGTAGATGGGAGCAAAGAGTCGTTGTGGTGCACGCCGCCATGCTGTTCAATGTTGTTCTGCCGGAGCTCATCGAACAACTCATCGTCGTGAACTGAACTGGTGGTCGTCGCACTTCGCAATAATGGATGCAAGCATTCTTGCGCAAGGCTCCGTCGTGATGCTCATCGCCGTGCCATTGGTAACCGCCGCATGGCGGCGATGCGAACGGCCTTGCTTCGTCGGCTGTGCTGAGGGCCTGACGTGCAACGTAGCGGTGGTACAAGACTTGTCTCTCCAGGGTGGGCGCGACAAAGGATCGGTGTGCGAAAGAAAACATGACCAACCAGCGCGCGCCTGGTAGGTCAACGACTGTGTGCGCATCGTTGTGCGCCATGCTGCACATCGCGCTCGTAAGCGTCCGCGGCTGGCTGCGACTCGCTGTGGTGACGTTCGTCCTTCAGGGGCCGTTCGTAAACGCGGTGCTAGCCACTCTGCTCGTCGTCTCCCTCGTGGATGGATGTCCCGGCGCGCTGGGACAGCGGTGTGGCGGGGGACATGAGTGAGGAGAAGCACGATGCAAAATAATTGTTCTGAGAGTGCATATCAATATGCAACCCACGATGGTGACCGTTACAAGCAATATCGCCAGAATCGTATCTGAGGACGGGGGTGGCGCTGCCAAGGGGTCGGTAGGCGTTGGTGGGGGCGGCTGTCGCTGCTGGTTGGGGCATCGAGGCTGCTGGCGGTCAGGATGACAGTACCAGGGTCGACGGGAAAGCAGTCGGCGGCGCTGCTCGCGTGAGTATCGAATACGCTGTTGGATGAGTAGTGGAAATGGTAGTGGCGGTGGCGTGGCAGCCGTGGTATATCTCAAGCGGGTAGAGCAAGTAGGGGCAGGCTGGGCGAGGTAGTGGACATCGTTGTGATAGGCATGCTTGCGCAAAGACGTCGGTGGCAGGGATGCCGTGCTGGACGGCGCTTTGCGTTCGTTCCGTCCGTTCGCGGCGTCGCAGATACTCTCTGCGAGGGGGTGGTCCTGGACCATCCCTGTGGAAGCCTCGCGCAATGCCTCACTGGTAGCTAGGCTGGGTGGAAGCTGCCCGTGGAAGCGCAAACAATGAGTGCGAAAAGCTGCTGCCGCTCAGAAGGCCATGCGAACCGCCACGGCCAGGTGGTCGCCGTCTCGGTTGTCAAATTCCAGGAGCGCGTCCAAACGGTCATCCGGCGTAGCGGCGAGCAGCAACATTGAGCAGCTTGCCTATCGCCGCGCGCAAGCGTGCACAGCCTGAGTATCGTTCCAAAGAGTCTGCGGCCTTCGCTGTGCATCCGGGCAAGTAGCCGCCGAAACCATGCCGTCCTTGTGCTGCTCAGGCAGTGGCCCGCCCAGCCGTCATTTCACAGGGTTCGCCACCTGGGCAGGGCGTGCCCGCGGAAGGTCGTCAGACTTTCGAAGCTGCTTGCCGCTGGAGCCCAAGGGCGCCGAGGTATCCGCCACTCGCCTTGCTTGTGGCGAATCTGCGCCTCGACGTCCACGACGGCGGCCCATGGCAGCCGGGAAAAAGCAGAGCGTTGGCAAGCGGCCTGGGCGTGGACCGCCTAATTAGCCTGAAGGACGGGCCGCGGCGTGGCGCCCTGGTCGCGCGCGCCCGGTGGCTGCGCGGCAGCCCCGCGCCCCCGGGAGCGCGCAGGGCCCTCCGACCGCGGCGAGACGCCCGGGCCGAAACATCCAGCAGGTCGATGCGCTGGAGATCGCGGGGCGAAGGCCCCCGGACGAGGCCGGGCACCGGGCGGGAGAGAACCCGCGGCGTCCGCGAGAGGCCACGGCGGAGGCAGGCCGTTCGGCTGCACGGGGGGCCGAACCACGCGGGCAAGATGCACACAGCCGGAGATGTGATCCAGAAAATGACCATCTGTAAGAAATCTGGGCCAGCTTCCCAGAGTTTCATTACAACGAGCCTGGGCCAATTTCCGCTGTTAACGCTGGGGGGCGCACGTGCTCGAGAAGCCGGGCCAGCTTTCCGGCGAGCTGGTCAAGAAACGCTGGCCGAGCTCTTCGGGGGGGGGAGGCTCCTCAAATCCGATGCTCGGCTGTATTGCGTGTGCGACCGCCGCGGCGAAGAGGCCGTCTTCTGCCCTCCCCCCTCGCTCCCCCCCCCCCCCGCGCAG